CCTTCCAGCTCTCATTAAAACTCTGACAGCAGCATTTTGGATTAAATGAAGACTTATTAAAGAGTTTTTCGGATGTCCAGATAATAAAGAATTACAGTAATCCAGTCTAGACGTGATAAATGCATGAATCAGTTTTTTTGCAGCATTTTTTAACAAGATGTTTCTAATTTTAATGATATTACGCAGGTGGAAGAAGGCGGTCCTGGTAACATTAACATTTCAACATCTCTCTGCTCACGTTTGTTGCAGCTAAATGTTTGTTTCAACCTGTKGAAATGTAATGTTTGGTAGATTAAATCTAAGTGGAGACACGTTTACTTATAATACAGTAGGCTATCTGTAAAATAAATTAAATTTGTTTATTGGTTCAAACCAAGATGGGGGATGACAACGACTGTCTTTGCCAGCAGCAGGTGTTACTAAACGTTGTGAAGCTAAAGAAATTAGTAAATATCTTTCTTTTATAAATATATTTATATATATTTTTTTAAATTCACCACACAAGTTAACTTTTCTTATTTGGAACACTTATGTTGGCTTTTTCTTCATCTTTAACCACAAAAAATGTCAGTGAATCTTGAGCAAATTTCATTTAAATCCTAAACTGAGATTAAATTGACAAGGCACAAAAACCCTCCAGTTTGTTGTTGCTTTGTACTGTATTTATTTGATGGGTGCACGGTGAGAAATTCAAATCTATCCCATCTCTTTACATTTATTCAAATGGAACCCACGGTTTTTAACTGTACCTAAAACGTGTTTATGTACAGAAAATGAARTGCCATCATTATAAAACTTCACACCATTTTCTGGTTACTGCTGGTGGACTTTTCATTTTATTTATGAGCATCATAATTATGTAATTAATGAAAAGTCCACTTGAGGACGCTGTTTCCCTCTTTCTCATGAACTCATTCTTGTTCACAGCAAGCTCATTTATCATATAATTGTTTGGCACTTCAAATATACAAAGTGCTTTTTGTCCCCATTTAACATTTTAGATAGGCATCATTCTTCCTAAACATCAGTTTTCATTTTATGTGCACATGTGGAACAAACATCATGGACCTCTGTAATAACATGATTGGTACAGTAAATATTACTAGTTTTGTGTCTCTGTTGAGATATCTGAACTAAAAATATTTAAATATACTACATACTAGCCAAACCTTGCAAAACACAAGCTAAAAAGGCAAAATGCCAGCTAAAAKGTTCATCACAGTACCTGGATCAGTTTTAAAAAATAAATGAATTATGCAAGTTACTTTTAAAAACAATTTGTTCTGGCCAGTTGCCTAATTTTACTAGAAATAATGCTATTTTTGGACATTTCAAAAATGTTAAGTAAAAATGTGTGGTTTGAATATATGCTACAACTGCCTGCCATACATCTCCGTCACCTTCAAAAGCTTATCAGCTGAAGTCATCAGGTGCTTCTACAGTGTCCATGTTTATACTGGAGAGAGGAGTAATTGTAAAACTTGAATTATTCCTTTGTTTATTYCTGTTCATATTAGTTATGCTAATTAATTAGGCGATAGGCCATTAAAAGTGAGTTCGCATGTCAAATAAATAGGTAAAAATGTTTTGTTTTAGCAGATATTGGGAAACTAGGCCGCATTTTCTGCAGAAATAAACGCTCATTCCAAGAAATGTTCATGTTTTTACCAATAAAATCCTGACTGCAGTAACGCCTCACGATTTTAGTTTAGTTGTTTTTTTATCTCCCACAATGCTTTGCGCCAGGGGCTGGCTCGTGAGCGCGTGTGTACGCTGTCTGTGGTGCTGAAGCTGCGCGTGCTACCAGCTGACCGTGGCTACCATCAGCGCGAGCATCTTTCCGCTAGCGGAGCGGACAAACGAGGAATTCTGTTTTCGTCGATGGAAGGCGATTCAGGATGGTTCCGCCGGCTTCTTAGCTTTATTTTAAGCACTTTTATATAAAAACAGGCGGTGTTTTAAAGCACAAAGCGGAGACGACGTGTGTGAAGCTGTATTTTTTTTCTGTTTTTTGACGCTTTTGTCGTGTTTCTCCGGTTCCTGCCGCCGCCGCCTGTCTGCTCAGCAGCCGTCTCTCTCCGCGCCCCGTCCCGCATCCTTTATGCACAGCACGCTGCTCCGGTCCTCTCCGACGAAACACACCTACGTGTCCGAGCACAATGGTCCGCTACAGCTGCGTTTACTGAGAGACATGGAAGCTAAACAACATCCGATAAAGAGTCTAAAAAGCTACCCGGAAACCGGCGGCCGGAGCCTGGCGGCGGCCGCCGGAGGAGACGGCCGAGCCGGCTCAGCTGAAACGGAGATGGAGCTAAAGATCCAGAAAGCCATCGACTTCAAGGCGGAGGGGCACCGCTGCTACAAGGAGAAGAAATTCCGGGAGGCGATAGGCAAGTACCACCGAGCGCTGCTTCARCTCAAAGGAGTGCACGTTGTGGACGGGACGACGGGCTCCGAGGTCAGCCTGCTCAGCCAAGCCGCCGCCAAGCTGACCGAGGAGCAGCGGAGAKCCGTGGAGAGCACCGAGATCGAGTGCTACGACAGCCTGACAGGTGAGCTGTGTCGGTCCGGCGCAGATCCAAACACGACACGGTATAACTGCTGACAGCATTGTTTGCTCCGGTTCACCGAGTTCACAGGAAAGAGTGGGATGGATGGATGGATGGATGGATGGATGGATGGATGGATGGATGGATGGATGGATGGATGGATGGATGCTGGCTCAGAGGCAGATGAAATAATTCTGGGGACAGTCAGCATGGTGTTTATTTTCTGGAGAGGACAAACTGTTCTGATTTGATAGACAATAAGAAAAAGATTATCCAGCAGGGCATTGTTCAACCATTTCAGAAAAATAAATCTAATGATTTTTTAGAATATAATATCAAATTTAAGCACCCTTTGTGCTGTAAAGTTAAATTAGTATTGTATGATTTTGGTATAACAGGAAAAGTTTAGCACATTAGTGTTGTCTGACTCAGAGGATGGGGTGATGTAAGGTTATTAATTTATTATTATTA